CTCATGTGGAGTGAACAAAAAAGAACCCTGACAAAGCAAAATCTCCCTCCACACAAAACAAGAGTTTTTTGGGTGATCTCCCTCCACCCCTATGGGCGATATTCAAATGGACGAGCATGGTACAAAAATAAAATTGTCAAACATGATATGGAAGATGTGAATTGCCACATACTAGTGTCAAAAACGTTCTCATATTATGGGACGGAGGGAGTAGTTTCGTGGTGCTTGTGCAACGCCTAGTCATGTTTTACCCCCTTTACCCCTATGGCGATAGTTCCCTGGTGCTTGTTTAATGCCTATTCATGTTTTATTCCGATCATTTATTGTATTTGGACACTGTTCTTTATTTAAATTTGAACATTTGGATTTATTGGTTTGAATTTTTGTTGTATTCTATGATGTTGAAAAGAGAAAAGTTCAAATTATATTGATGTGAAAATAAACTCGGAGTAGAGTTTATATGCGCGCGCGCGCACACACACACACATAGAAGAAACAGAAGAGGAAAAATCAAGAGGAATCTGGCTTTGCGTAGTTGCTCTAAAACCTTTAGAAAAAATTGAAGAGTGATGTAACAACACCTTTAAAGGCCCCATTTTGGGGGAAATCTGCTAGAGTTGCTCTCATCCTTCATACTGCAACACCTGAACACTCGGTAAATCTCTGGAAATAAAATTGTTCAACTCTTTGCACATATCTATTATATTTATATGGCTCAAAAACATATAATGATTTACAACAATTAGGCATTCGACATCAGATCCCTTCAAACGACTGACATTCTAGATGAGCAGACCATTACAAGCATAGGGACCGACCAACACCTTCCCTTTCAGATCTTACACCATGTTTACTTTATATATCAGGCCCGGGCATGAACCCATCCTACACATTTCAGCTACAATACAGCGGAACATTGACAGGCTTGTACAGGAATGCCTTGACGATGTGCGAGTTCCCTGACTGTTTGTTGTATGTGAACTTGACCCCAGAGTGTGCATCGCCCCTCCTGGTGCAATGGTGGTGGAAGCTGCTGATGGGCCTCGCCAGGCACGAGTCCCACCGGTCGCTCTCCGGCATCGTCTCCGCAACACTGTAGATGCCCTCGGAGTTTGTGAATGCCTGGTAGTTGATGACCTCGCCAGATTTCGTAATGCACAGAACAGCAACCTCAGCGCCTATATAAGACACAAAGATGTACATGAGCAAGAGGAGAATTAAACTTGCAGAAACTTTAATTGTACACAACATGATGAATAAAACAATCCAAAGCAAAGAAAACAAAATGGAATTAGTAAGAGACAGGCAGTGCATGTATGCTTGCCAGTCACAGAAAAGGTACAAGTTACAATTCTTTCTTAGTTTGGTAGTATTATCACCTAAAGATCGCCACTTTAGATTTACACTAACACTTTCCAATACACTTCGATCGCATGTAAGCGTTATGAAATATCCCTAATTTTCTTGACAAAAAGGAATGTCAAAACCCATGGTCGATACCTGCACTAGCACCAGCACTGCTCGTCCCATTTGCGTTTTCATCTCAATTTGTTCATGGATGGTTGAATTACTGAATCAGCCTACCCGAATTTCTAAAATGGTTGATTCAACAGCCATTCGACCCATCTCCTCCAACTTTATTTTTTGATGTAGTTGTTGAATTGCCGAAATTATGCCAGTAGCTATACCGTGGAACAATCAACGCCAGCAGAATGCGAGTGCGCCAGTACAGTATGCTGGTCCAGAGAAAAATAAATAAAAGAAGAACGGAACATCGATAGGCAGAAAGTTCTCCCAATAGGCTTAACAGGCAATGTTTTGACGTCATTTGGTTTGAGCTTGTAGGGGCGGTGGAGCAAGAACGAGGAAGCAGAAGGGGAGGAAGAAGCAGTAGGAGGAGCGGGATGGGGAAGCCAGAGGGGTCAACCTGTGAGTCAGTGACAGTGACTAACTCCAGGAAATGGACTCCGATAACTTGGCAGTGGGCACCCTCGTATTAATGCTTCTCATTGGTGTTCATGCTTAGCGGAAAGGAAATGGGATTGGATTGCGAGAGATAGCAGGGAGGTGAAGGTCGCCCTCCAGGCTTCTGTGGGCTTGTCCCAGCCAAAGCTCAGAGAGAAGCACTATTACCTTTTGGCATACCATTCGCAGTTCTAACTTTATCAAGCAGAGAGCACATCAATGCATTTTCTTTGATGACATTTGATAAATGCTGACATTTCTTGTCAACAACTAAAATAAGTCTCAGAATACTAAAGGAAAAATTCACATATGTTCTGGAAAGAAGTGGATTCAAGAGATGCATTCGGCTATTCCATGGACATGTACATAATTTTACATGTACTACGCCAATTACTATTAGACATTAGTTCATACGTTGGGAAATGCATTATTTACTCCCTGCAAGCCAACGTACAGACCCACATGGGCACCTAGACAGTTTTGAATTTTGATATCTTTAGTTTCCTTTGCGCATGGAGTTTCAGAGAGATAGTGGAATAGATGGTGAAGTGGATACGTGAGGGAAATTTAGGCTATAATTTACACATTATCTAAATATATATACATGCAATGAGAGGCTCCAGAGAAATTACTCAGTAAAGGTGCTACTGTACTGCAGGCAGTACATCAGAATTTAGCCATCCTTAATAGTTTGCTTAGGCAGAAGTCAAGAACTCTACCTGATAGTCGAGTTCGCCTCAATTTTGGAACATGTTTTGAGTTAAACCAGTTCCCTGTAATTTGATTTGTTCTGATGGCAGTGGAAAGCAGTTTATGCACTTTCATACGTTCCCAGAACATGTAGGATAGAATAGAAGTCAAACCCTTTAACTTGTTTCTTCTTGTGTCCTTTTGCTAGAAACTGAGCAACCTTCGAGTGAGATACAGATAACGGCTCATGTGTGTTTGCCTCACCTCACCAAATCCCAACTAAGCTGTATGATGTGCGTCCATCTATGCTCCTCACTAGCTAACACAAGAGCCTCCTGTTACCTAGTACTTGCGTCCGATTTTCATCTCAACATCAGATGACCAGTAGCCAAACATCATATGGCCAGTAGCCTAGCACAGACTAAAATTCCACCAGAATTTCCCACGGAATGATACGAAAAGCACTCTCCAGTCTCCACAGCCCACGAATTTCCACTAGAGCGAAACTCGCCACTCTGCTCAACGTGGTAAACCGAGAAGTAAATTTCGAGATCCAAAACAGCTGAACCGAGATCCGCGGAAGTGATCGCTCGAAATCTAGCCCGATGGCCACGACAGCACAGAGGGCGGCGACAGCAACTTAGATATTACTAAATTCGAAGGAGGAGGCAGGCTCATTGGGCTGACCTTCGAGGGCGTGGTCCTCGGGGCCGATGGCAGAGTCGGCGCAGACGTCGCAGACGACGCGGCCGCGGATCTCCCCCGTCCACGCCTCGGCCGCCGGGGCCGCCGCCAGCAGGAAAGCGAGGAGGGCCAGGTGGAGCGGGAGCAGACACCGGTGAGGGACAGAACACGCCGCCGTCGCCATGGATTGGGTTGCTCGGTCGAGCTACTCTTTCCTCTTTTTTGTAGTACAGTAGTGTAGTAGCTACTCTTTCCAGCTGTTTTTTTTTCTTTTTGAGGGGTTGGTGACATTTTCACTTTCGCGGGAGTATTGACGAGGTAGACTGGGTTTTTTTTTTTGAGCAATACGAGGTATAGACTTTTTTTAGGCGTAATACGAGGTATAGACTGGTAGAGTAAGCAATAATTCACCTTGGATCAATCACCTTTTTTTTTCAACCGGGCTCGCACCCCTTTCAATTAATTTTGCAATCAACGGAAATACATCAGTCTGTATCACAAGTTCACCAACAAGCACTAACTAAGCATCACACCAAATAGGAAGCTAGAAACCA